AGGCAGGCCCGGCCCAGCCCGGGCCTTAGCTAGGGGACCCGGGGACTGAGGGCTCCCTTCTCAGGGAGCGGGGTCTGCAGGGCAGCAGTGCGGTCGCCCCGGGGCGCCGAGGCGGTGACAAGTTTACTCAGTAGCCCGGGAATGACTTTAAAAGGAGGACTAGTCAGTGCAGGCCCAGGACTGGTGTCCCTGCCGGACAGGTGTCTCAGGTGGCTTCATGGGGAGGGGAAAGCAGGTAAGACCAAACAGCAACAGGTGCTTAGTGAAAATGTGTTGGGACGAAGGCAGTGTAGCGTTCCTGTCAGCTTCCCATTGCCAACAATTTGTCTTGCAGAGGCTTCTTGAAGGCACAGTCTATGTACTTAATTGTTTCCACTGGATCTCTTCTCCATGAATGTGTCTGGTTGCCCCTTCAGATCATGGGAAGTTTTAGCATGCACAAAGCACATAATAAGTAATCAAAGATATTTCTGGCCCAATTGTATATTTTGTGAAGAGACACATTTTCTTTAAAACGGCCACTGCTGATTTCATTTTATAACCCCTTGTTCTCGAGACTGTGGCCACTCATGGTGTCCGTGCTACTCACTTTATGGTCTTTGCATTCCTTGACACCCTTTTGTATGCCAAATACTCTTGAGTTACTCTTTAATAATCTTTGTTAGCTTATCTGACCTTTTCTAGCTATATCCTTTTGAAATGGGAAGGACTGGAATGCGATAGTGTGTGCATAGCATGGCAGCATATTTCTTACCTGTTGTGTGCTCTGCTCATCTGCTAATGCTTCTTAACCTTCTGTTTGCTTTATGAGACCATCCCTGAGCCTTGAGCTGACGTTAGTGAGGGCACTGAAGAAGACCAAAGCTGCAAGAGGAGCTTAAAAGACAGCAAGATAGTATCATCTCCACGTTGGAATTGTTCTTTGCATACCACTTAAGGGAAGCTGGTGCTGTCACACTGAGCAGCTGGCATGGCTTTGCCTCTCTTCACGAGTGCAGAAGTGCCAAAGGGGAAAAGCTGCTGTTGAGGTATGGACTTCTTCAGGCTGTCCCAAGTTTTCATCCCTGTTTCTGTGACTTCTCGTGGGTATATTTTCATAGAAAAAATAACCAGCTGAAAACTGCCACCCAGAGCATTTACATTTGTAATTTCAATCCACTTGTTCTTGTTTTACGTAGATAAACCTACTTGACGACGAACCAACGACTTTAAATGAGAAACAATCCTTAAACCTGGTGGTTTCAGTAAGATTAAGTGAAGTGCTTGTGATAAGAGCCTGCTCAGTTCCACTTTCTCAGCCCAAATGTTCTTTTCACCTCTTCCTTATTGTGCTTCCTCTTTTTTTCCTTCCTCAGAAGAACACAAATCCTGCTGATCAGCAGCCAGAAGACAAAGTTTTTCTGTGCCAGTGAAGGGAAGCCACAATTCACTGGCTGCTGTTCAAGTAATCGGTGTTACTTTTGTAAGATGTTCTGCCTTGCCAAGTGGTTAGCTTGGCAGGTGTGGTCTACTTCTACACAGATCTTGTAAGCATAAAAAGAAAGGGTGCTTAAACAGATCAGCCTGAAAGTTGATTGTGCAATTTTTAGGAGGATGCTGTGTGACAGAACCTCCCATTTCTTCGTATAACTCACCTGCATAGTGCCTTTGTCTGAGGTCTTGCTCAGCTTGAAAAGCATGAGGTCTTCACCTTTTGTTTGTTTTGCAAGGAGCAACAATGTCTGTGTTCTGGTTAACACATCTGTTCTGGAATAACCAGAAATGCTAGTGTGCAGTGTATTGTACCTAGTCACACAGCTAAGAAGTTAGTTAACAGTGCCAGTTAATTACAATGCTTGAGTGTGTATATATATATGTATGCATTTTCCTATACATAAATTTATATTGATTAAAACCACTTTATAGCAGCTTGTTGTAAAAAATAATTAAAATAGCATTAAACATTTTGAGGAAACAACGAAACCAAAGAAGAGTCTTTTACAAAAAAAGAGTCACACATCATCCCATGTTGCTTAGCTGCTATTGCTTTCACTGATGACTAGATGAAATGCTGAACTGCACAATTATTTCTCACAATTTTCCCACATTTTAGTTGCTTGCCTACATGCATGCTTACAAAACCACCATGTATTTGACCTTTTATCTGGAGGGTTTGGATTCTGAATTTGGGAAGAATGATATTTGTGGGGTAACAACAGGGGAGAAAGATTTATAATCAAACAGTGATTTAGAATAGTTGTTCAAAGACTTAGTAACCTAGAAGCCTAAAATCCGGGATTTGATTAATCAGTTGGACACCCAAGCTAAGGCAACTGCATTTTTTATTAGCATAATAATTTCAGTTGCACAAGTACTCCTTCTCCTGCTGCCAGTGTCCATAAAATAGTACAGGGTAGCTATAATCTTGTTTTTAGCCTGTTTCTTCAGATATGCAATACAGTCAGGTGAGAAACACATACTTCATCTGCATTGCATCAGCATACCATTTAAAAATTTAACTCCATTGCTGCATAGTAGTTGCCATTTCTCTGTGCTTGTTCAGAGACAGTTTTCTAACAATCTCCTTTTGTTCAGAGAAACAAAATTTAAACATTTGCTCTAATGTATAATCCATTACTGCAAACTGTCATATACTTAGAAGACACCTCTATTCAGTGGCTTATACATGCATCTTTCACATAGATACATGAAGTGTCTGTGATATATGCCACTAGACAAGTACTTGAAATGAAATCAAGTAAACAAATGCTTCCAAGTATAATTTTAGAATCCTAAAGTAACAGGAAGTTTACATGTATCAGCAATAATTTGCATATGTATAATTATATATATAAGTATTGTTTCTACTGAATGGAAAATTGTTCTCAGTGGGTTTCTGAAAAGTACAGTTGGTGAAAAAGTAGATGTTTAAATATTTTTAATGCATAAATATTTATTGTACATAACAGCAGTTACCATTTTTAGAAATATGTGACTGCCAATTTCAACTGGTTCACCTACAATATATAATCTTTATAATAGTGTTCTACTCTTGTTCTTAGTAGATCACCCAATCCGTGTTTTGTTTTGGTATATTGTTTCAATTATTAGATTCATGGGTAATTTTAATTGCAAGAGGTTTTAATGATGTAAGATTATCTTCTGCTCAATTTCTGTTCCATCTTCTGGTAAATTTTGCAGACATTGTTTTAGTGCACCTGACTTGAAAATCTCCTGAGGGCTGATCCAGTGCTGAGGAGTCTTAAACAGATTAAGATATGGCCTGTTCTTAAATTGCTTCCTCTGAAAATCCACCAGTAATGATGAAGGAAGGTATCTGATAAGGGTATTGTAAAAAGATGTGGTGTGGCCCAACAATCTCATACAATAGTATCCTTATTTACCAGCTGCCCTTAAGCAATGCTAGTGTAGATTAGATAGCCAGGATTAAGTCCTGCATTTAGGGAAGTCTTTTCCATATGAGTAATAATTACAATATTTGGGGACTAACATTCTCAATTTTATCCTTACAAAGAGGCCTAATACCTACTTTTCTTCCTCTCAGTTTTTTTTTTTTTTTAAATTTGGCATGAATGGAAACAGGATTGGGCTCACAAGCTTTTCTACATTCAACTACAAGATGTAATTATTATTATTCTTTCTTACTCATATTGCAGGTTCAATTAGTACTTGAACTGTAGTCAGGTCTATCTAAAGAACACAGTCTCTCCTTTGAGAATATGTGGTTGTGACAGATCATAGAATCATAGAATCATAGAATCTTAGGGGCTGGAAGGGACCTCGAGAGATCATCTAGTCCAACCCCCCTGCCAGAGCAGGGTCACCTAGAGTACATCACACAGGAACTCATCCAGGTGGGTTTTGAATGTCTCCAGTGAGGGAGACTCCACAACCTCCCTGGGCAGCCTGTTCCAGTGCTCTGTCACTCTCACAGTAAAAAAATTTTTTCGGATATTCACCTTGAACTTCCTATGCTCCAATTTACACCCATTACCCCTTGTCCTATCACTGGTCATCACCGAGAAAAGCCTAACTCCGTCCCCCTGACACTCACCCCTTACATATTTGTAAACATTGATGAGGTCACCCCTCAGTCTCCTTTTCTCCAAGCTAAAGAGACCCAGCTCCCTCAGCCTTTCCTCATAAGGGAGATGTTCCACTCCCTTAATCATCTTCGTAGCTCTGCGCTGGACTCTTTCGAGCAGTTCCCTGTCCTTTTTGAACTGAGGGGCCCAGAACTGGACACAATACTCCAGATGTGGCCTCACCAATGCAGAATAGAGGGGGAGGAGAACCTCTCTTGACCTACTAACCACACCCTTTCTAATGCACCCCAGGATGCCATTGGCCTTCTTGGCCACAAGGGCACATTGCTGGCTCATGGTCATCCTCCTGTCTACCAGGACCCCCAGGTCTCTTTCACCTACACTACTCTCCAGCAGTTCAGCCCCCAACCTGTACTGGGACATGGTGTTGTTCTTCCCCAAATGTAAAACTCTGCACTTCCCCTTGTTGAACTTCATCAGGTTTCTCCCAACTCTCCAGCCTGTCTAGGTCTCGCTGAGTGGCAGCACAGCCTTCTGGTGTGTCAGCCACTCCTCCCAGCTTAGTGTCATCAGCAAACTTGCTGAGGGTACATTCTATACCCTCATCCAGGTCGTTGATGAAGATGTTGAACAACACCGGTCCCAGTACCGACCCCTGTGGGACTCCACTAGTCACACACCTCCAACCAGATTCTGCCCCATTGACTACAACTCTCTGACTCCTTCCTTTCAACCAGTTCCTAATCCACCTCACTTCCTGATCACCAAACCCATACCTGATCAACTTTTCTACAAGGATGCTGTGGGAGACGGTGTCAAATGCTTTACTGAAATCAAGATAAACCACATCTACCGCTCTACCATCATCTATCCACCTAGTAATTTCCTCATAGAAGGCTATGAGGTTAGTCAAACATGATTTACCCTTGATAAAACCATGTTGACTGCTCTTGATGACCCCCATGTCCTTGATGTGCCTGAAGATAGTCACAAGAACAAGTTGTTCCATCACCTTTCCAGGGATGGAGGTGAGGCTGACAATATACCAGCATAACTAAAAATACAAAGTGAATGGGAAGTGCAAAGGTAAAAATAACAGTAAGACAATTTTATTTGCATGAATTGGTTGTAATATTCCTGATAGTCATACTGCAGTAAGCACAGTCTATATCCTAGCCTCAAAATACAGACACTTCACACATACTTTTTTTATTTCAAGCTTCTGTAAGGTTTTAAATTCCTATGGAGAGTTAGGAACAGTTCACTGCTGAATATGTTTAAAATAAAGGAACATTTCTCTTCATAGTTTCAGATTTTCATGTCATGTAAGTGAAAGTTTTTTGTGGTGAACAGCATGGGGCTGTTCACACTTGGTAATCACATAATCAAAAACTGCCCCTTGCTATGAAGCTTTGGCTTCATAAACAAAATGCTCATTAAAAATTCTGCAAGCTGTTGAAAAAAGATTAGCATAACACTGGTATCAATAGAAAATCTTTCAGTCTTTCCCGATTCAGTATACAAATTTGAATGCTGGAGGCTTAGTGTGGCCATTAGTTAATTTAGCTAATCTATTAGAATCATAGAACCATGGAATGGTTTGGGTTGGAAGGGACATTAAAGGTCATCTAGTTCCAATCCCCCTGCATGGGCAAGGACACCTTCCACTAGACTAGGTTTATCAAAGCCCCATCCAGTACAAACCATTTAGCAAAATGTCCTGTGTGACCGTAACAAAGTCCAGGAATACGACTGATGAAAATAGGTAGGTAAAGTTATTACAGCTGCTTAATGCAGATGAGACAGAGGATGTAATGTAACAGTGAATGAAAGAACTGTGAACAACAGAATGAGCACTCTTTCTTTTTAAATTGAATTTCTGTCTATATACAAAAACAAATAGATTGAGATGAAAGAAGGGATACATCTCAATTTCATATTTATTTCTAGAACTATACATTAAAAGTATAAGTCAAACTTTGGAACAGAGTATCAAAATGTATCTTGCTTCCTTTGTCCTAAAGATGAGGATTAGAGTTTTAAATGGTTTAGGGTTTAAGCAAATGCCTAATTTGCAGGATGAAAAGTTTTCCCTTTGCAGAGTAATTTTTAACAATTTATTTTAAAACTGTCTTCTAATTTTTCAAAATCACATTTTTGTTTATATTGTATTATAAATCCATCACAATATGGCAAATGTTTACTTGAAATATATAAAGGGAAATGCAGAGCTGTTTCTAAGAATACTTGCATTTAGATTATATACCATCTAGGGTGATTTTCATTGAAAAAGAGAAATAGTTGAGATTTCAAGAAAACTAGTAATAAAATTAAAATGAAGACAGGTACTGAATTTCAAGGAAAAAATAGCTTCCCCTCCTTCTTTTTCCATTTTCTAAGTATTTTGTTTGAAAAGCACAGAACAAAGATGTCAAGAACTATCTTGCATTAACTAATTTCTTAGGCTGTATGGTTAAGTATTAGCATTTTGACAAGGTAGTCTTTTGAATATTTTAGATTTTGAGGATACCTATTTGCCCCCTGCATATTATTCTGGATTACAATGTTGTTTTGCATAGAAAAATTGGCAACAGTTTCCCAGATGCCAATGAAAATTTTACCCCAGTAACACCATAATAAACTGCTCATTGTATCACCATATGCTTGTACCAGAATTATTGGACTAAACCTTTTAATACTTTTATCTTTGGCTTAAATTTCCACTTCATTTTTTTATTTAATAGGAGTCCAATTTTAGTAGACATTCTGCATAGTTAGGAGTACTGCTTCTGAGCTCTTTTCTTAATCTTTACAATGACTTTGCAATGCTTTCTATTATTTCTTACACACACACACAAAAGATTATTCCAAATGAGGATTTACTAAATTTCTTGAATAGCATCATGATACGCTTTTTACTTTCTATGAACAACCTGTCAGTGCAAAAGTATATGCACTAACTACACCTATGTGATTGTTATTTTTATGACTTCCTGAATATACTCATTTAATATTTTAAAGTCTTTGATTTCATTGCCTTTTGGTACAACAAAAGAATTTGTGCAATATGTGAACTATACCTCACTTGCTTTTTTCCAGTCTACAGCATATTTAGTTTTCATTGAATGCCCCCTCAGGTGCTGTAAACTCTGCAAATATTGTTCTCCCAGTGTTATTTCTATGCATATCAAACAATATATATTCAGATGGATTATTTCAGCATACTGTGCCACTTTTCACTGTGTAAATTGCTCCCAATTACTGTTCTTAGGTAAGCTCACACATGAAGGACTGCATTCAAATTGGTAAGTTTACCTACTATTTTGCTACAGGCCAATTACAGATATCAAGAACTATTGAAATTAGAATTTTCTGTATAGTTGTGCATGCAGTAAGCACTAGATGGCACTATATCAATTGTTTAAATGTCATGTTAATTAATTAGCTGTACCTGTTTTCTTCTTGAGAAGTTGTGCAATAGTTGATGAAAGGGATTAGGACTATTTTATAATATTGTTGTTAGAGAGTTATTATGTTGAGAAGTACATTGACTTCGATGGTCTTGCACTGATAGGTATAGTATGATTCCTTATTGTTATTATCTGTGAATAAAACTGCTTTTGCTTCCTTTTTCAAGAAAATAACGTTTTGACAAGGTAAACAAGCATAACTGAGCATAAGAATAATCTACACTCTTTGGAAGTGAAATTATCAGGAAAAAAACACCTATGACTGGCTATTTTAACAGTCCTTACCCACATGATACAGCCTTTGCTAAAGACTGGATCCTGTTAATCCCTAAACCCCTTCTTTTAATTTTTTTTTTTTTTTTTTCTGTATGCTGTACAAAAAAGCTGTGCAGAGCTTACTTGCAGTAAGGTGTCACTCTGTGTTTACCTTTTGCTGCACCTGAATCGGATGGTCCAGCTTTTCCCAATAAGTCCCTGCTTTGGATTTCTTCTGCTACCTTTCTATAGGTTTAAGTCATCACATGGCTAAAATGTTAAATCTCATAATTTTTGATGGGTTTTCTCTTGGTTCAGTGAATCAAACCCACTCAGTATAGAAACTTGATTACCAGTGTGCAGCAATCAACACTGCAGAAAGTAGGAGCTGTCCTCTTTTGTAGTCATCTCAAGAGTATACCATATGTTAAATCCAGACTTTGCAGCATTGGGCCTCAGATCTGCTCATCAAGATCTCTACTTTGTGTCATAGTAATTTGCAGTACTAGTATGAATCAAAGCCATGACCGACACTTGCTTCCATTTGTAATGCTTGCTTGATCTCAGACTTCCTTTTTCTGTGGCACTAAAAGGAATGTGTAATCTACAGGAACACTGCACTGTTCAGCACTGACCAGAAGAATTTGACTTCTCCATTGAGTAGAACTCAGAAACTTTGTATTATTTGCTTTTTATTTGGCCCTTCTTTTGCAAGACTAGGATTGGAATATTTAAAGCTTGTTTACTTAGACTGTGTGCCGTATCAAGTCTTTTTGGAAATTACACCATTCCTGGTTTTGAACACTAAAAAGCCAGTTCTTAGTTACTAGTTTTCATCATCATATAAGGTTCGTCAACATTACAGAATAAATCTTACTGTTCAACTATTTTAATTAAGTATATATGATTCCTAGGGCTCTAGCAATTGGTTACAGAGAATAATAGTGCTAAAAAAGACTAAATATTTTTATCCATGCTTAATTGTATGTAACTGATTTTAGTCACAGTACAATTTATTTTTGATAGCAGCTGCTTTGCTATTCCTTATTTCACACGCCCAATTTACATGTCTTATTTTTTCCCTCTCTGCCTACTCTCCAGCACATATTCCTCTGCAATCTGGTCTTTTCTTGGTCTGCTGCATGTACTTTCTTGCTTTTCCTTATCACATTGCATTTCAGTGCAATTCTTCTCAACTGCATTCATGTCCTTAGCTCAATGGCTTTCTGAAACTTTAAACATTCCAGTCTGGGGGAAAAAAGTCTCATACACTACAATAAGGCTTTTACAATTAGTTAATGCTGGATTAAGGCTGATATTAGTGCTTAGACAAAAGAATGCAGTAATAGCTAATGTCTGTGTTGACCTCAAGTTCTTCTGTGAGTTCCACGTGGGTCTTTGTGGATATATTTAGATGCAGGGGCCTTGGTTGTATAAAAGTTTGTTCCTGGATGGTAATGGAAATGCAGAGCAAAGAAAAAATGGGTATGTGCCCTGAAAGATTTTGAATAAAACACATACTTATTTTTACATACATTTTATACATAAATCACCTTATTTCATCAGGATACAAA